TATCAGTCTAGGGCTAAGTGAATCGCTTGACGATGAACGTTACTTGTTATTAAAAAACCTTACATTTAATCAAGATCGTTATCATTACAATGAATTAGGCTTAACATATGTAAATTAATTAAATGTTCGGGTACGACTCTATCTTATATATTATCTAAGAAAGGAATGTTTTTAATGAATCACAGAGAATAAGTATTTTGTTCGAGCATAAATCAAAGCACATAAATGCTATGCGAAATGTGTTTTTAAAATGTTTTTAAGACGTTTTTGCCTCTTTTACTCAGTATCGCCGGCTACTGATGGACATCAAGCCTAAACAGAGCCTGCGAAAGAAGGCCATACTCACTCTCGTGTTAGCAACAGGATAGAACATTTATTTGTTTGATGGGCGATCATTTTTATATGTAGAGACAGCATGATGATGCGTGTATGCAAAAAGATAAGCGAAAGAAGTACACATCGCTCATGAAATGAGTATATAAGCAGAGAGGCGTGGGGAAGCAAAGCAAATAATGATATAACAAAACACCTGCATACCAATTAAAAACGAATTAATCTTTGTCATAAACTTCCAATCTTTCAGAAATAAGCGAGTATTTTGTATGAAATTCTATACTGAAGATAATATAAAACAGAGCAAAAAAAGAAGAGCTAAAATCCTTCCAATGACTGTTGTTCCGTGGGACTCACGTGTTTTTCGAAGAAAATAAAGAGGGTGTGGGTGTGGGTGTCCATGACAAGATAATACACACCCACATCCACACTCGACACCCACCCACACCCACACCCGCACCCACACCCACACCAACCACGACGTGTTTCTTCAATAAATTTTCCAGCACATATTCGCTCAAGTTTTTCTTCTTTTTTCCATTTAATTTTCATACGATGTCGCTTGACAAATGCTTGTAACCATTTTCGTCCAGGTTTGAAGGACAAACCAAGTGATTTCATATATTCAGATGAGATGTTAATAGCAACACCAGCAGTTAATGAAAATCCATAATTCGGTAAAATTTGAAATAATGAAACTAGATGATTTTCTTCGTTATCATTAAGATAACGATATCGGCCAGCACCAACCTTTTGTAATGGCATTTGCCTATGAGAACGTATGGTTCTTTCAGGTATATTAAACTTTTCGGCAGCAACAGGTGAACTAAAATCACTTTCGACAGCACTAATCAGCTTCTCTTTTGTATAGCTCTTCATAAATCGATAGATCTTAAGTATATTTTGAAAAAATCTGTTACTACTTCTTGAAATTAATCCATAGATAAACAGAAACATGAACAATGAAAACAAATAAAAAAGACAACAAGTGATCCAATCAGATGGAATGCAATAAATAACGTTTAGGGAAACAAAACATGTGTATAACTAAATCAAGAAATTTTTCTCTATAGAGCACGATGATATGTTGAAATTTATCAAATTTATTCTTTTGCTCTACTTGAAATTTTTAAAAGAAAGTTTTCATAACTTAGAATTAGTAAAAAAAAACTTGATAAAATAGTTTAATTTTTTTTTCAAGAGAAAAGTATTTGTTTATTTTATGCTAATATTTAACTCTTAAAAATAGTATTAATTTGATATTAAAATTATTCTGAAATTATGTATTTTAACTAATATTATTCATTCATTCGAAGAATTTATGTTTATTCTAAGTTGTGAGCAAAATTAGAGAAAAAATATGCAGAGAGGCAAAAATAGGAAAATTATTTATATAGATCGGCAGAATTAGGAACAAAAAAGAGGATTTTTTAGAACAACTTATTTTTGTCGATGGAAAAAAAAGAGTTAAACGATTTGAACTTTAATAAAAACATAAAGGTTGATACAACGTGATTAGAGAAATTATATCATGTGTGTTTTGTTTTGATTAAAGATCATTGTCATGAAGAAATTTAACTTTTTCTAAAATTTACTGCAATTTTACATATAAACGGCAGAATTAGGAAAAAAAATACATTGGCCGGCAAACTTAAATCCAGAGCAGAATAAGACAAAATTTTACCCCTTCGCTGTTTTCACTGTTATTGTATTATAACCACTGAACATTTTTTAATGAATTTTACATCAATCGATAGAGAAATGTTTGCTCTATCCCGGAAAAAAGATTCATCTCTAAATGTCATTCTGAACAGAAGTTATTAATGTTTTTCTGAAAAATTTTTTTTTTTCGGCAGAATTAGGTCCACTGACTCTACTTCTGATATTTCCAGAATCGATTTAATCTTAGTATGATTCTACGTTAGACAATGAATTATTTTTGTTAAAAAACTTTTTTATTATTGTTAAAACATGAATTTTGACGAATGATGTAGCATGTAGCAAATACCATACATGTACTGTCATTTATCGTGGCCAGATTCGCATTGATAAGCCATACTTAGGTCTAGAACACATAATCGATTAATCCATTAACCTTAAGATTCATTCAAATAAAAACATGCACATACCTGATTATACCTGCACTGCCTAGGACAAGTTTCTGACCTGGTATCAGCTCAAAATGAAAACGATGTAACAGCATTGCTAATATAATGATAGATTCTAGCATAGCAAAACTCTGTCCAACACATGCACGGGGTCCAAGTCCAAATGGAAACATCACGTGCGGGTGATCTTCAAGAAATCTTGACGGATTGTATTTATTTGGTTCATGCCAATATTTTTCTGAACTATATGAAGAAAAATTGTCAACATAGAAATATATATATACATGTATATTGAGATAAGGAAAAGTTCGATTAAGATTTTTTTTAAATTACCTATTCATAATATTCAAATTTATGACAACATCGGTTCCTTTTTGGATATGAATCTGTTTACCATCACTAGCCACAAGATTATTGTCAGCAATTGCTGTTCTAAACAACACAGGTGCAGGCTGATGACATCGTAAAGTCTCTTTCAGTACGGCTTCCGTATATGTTAGCAGTGATATTGTCGTTATTGTCAGTTCTTCATTCTCATTCAAAACTGAGTCAACTTCATTCTGACACTGTTGATATACATCGGGATTTGTGACAAGATTGTAAAGTACCCAAGTCATTAAAGTTGCCGTTGTCTCATGTCCCGCAAGTACTAAACATAAATCAAACATGCATGATACTTGTATTAAAAATAATGATTCGTTATTTACAGTAATTATTTTTCGTTTGAAAAATGAAATGTAGGATCAAGTTATATGTACAATATATTACGGAAGACCAGTCATGTTCATCAGCAAGTGACTCTAGTGTTTCCTAGCTGAAAAATAGTATCATCAAATGCAAGTCATAAATAGAAATGAAAAATGATTTGAAATCTGGAAGCAGAAAATAGTCCAAGGGACTACTAAATCACTCATATCAAGAAGATATTTTGAGACCTAAAGTCAATTCAAAATGCAGCAATGTTCTCGTACTTGCTATGCTTTCTCCTTTATGTATAGACTGAAAACAGTAAAACGAAAAAAAATACCTTATTATTTAGAAAGATCATGGTCCTTAGGACGTGTTCATATCTATTTGCTCAGATGACTGTAGCAAATCATCCATCATCGGCTCATAAGAATCGGCAATTGCGGATCGAAGGTTCAAGACTTCAATTCATCAAAAATCGGAACGATCCACATGTAATACTGCAGTTTTCCTCAGTCGATGGGACTAGAAAAAGTTGCTGTGATATACCTGTTGCGTCTTGTGAAGCGGGTCAGATCCACTGTTCTCGCAATATACTCTACTACATTAGCAATCCTGTTTCATATACGAATGATCGATCAGACGATTAATTTTCAGATAAAATACCATGATATTGTGGCTATCAAATATGAATGTACCTATAGGTACATTTTGATATGTACACAATGTTAATCCCCATGGCTACACAAGATTTCATATTCTCTTCTCATTCTATGACAATCGGCAGATATTAGCTAGAAATATTAAGTTCATCGTGCTTGCTGCAGAAGATGACAAAATTGAATTTACTATTTATTACCGCATTCTTATGAAACAAGATATAGTTATACAGCTCATAATAGTTGATCTTCTTGGCCATATGACAATATCGTTATAGAAAAGTCGAAAAATTTGTCATGAACATCATGTAAATAGTACGACAAATTATTTCTTGATAGCCACATAAGTGTTAGATTCCCTAGGTTTGTCATATTGTCCTAAATTATAACGATGCACTCAGATATACGTACATACATCTTAACTATGAGACTAGGGTTGAAACAAGTCAATTATATTTTCGAACAGAAAGGAATAAATTGTTGTTCACTAGGAAAAATGAATCAAATGTATACCACTAGTCCTTACCAAACGTAATTGCTTCATCTGAGACTTCTTCATCGGTAAATTTTTGCTTCCTATCATCACCATGTGCTGCTAAAAGTAGATCCAGTAAATTGGGCCCTAATCAACATTAATGAAAATCAGTCCAGATGAATAAAAAAAATTGAACAATGATATACCTTTACAAGTTGCTCTTGTTAAACCCTGTTTTCGTTGATTTATCATTTGTAGAACAATGTTTTTTATAACATGTCTACACTTATCAATACGTCTTTTACCAAATAAGGGCAATTGATTAAGTATTGGAATCATAATAATCATATTGTAGATTCGGTTTTCTATTTCAGTTGATGCTATTTTAACACATTGGTAGATTGTTTCATGAATATTTAAATCTTCCATTATTTCGGCACCAAATACACAACCGATTAAAATATTTAATGTTAAATTTGACATCTCTTTGGATACATCCAATATCAATGGATAATTTTTATCATATGTTTTGATTTGCCATTTTGTCAAAAAACTCGATATGGTATCAACTATTAGTGATGTCATTGAATTGATATTTTGATGTTGAAAAATTGGACTAACTAATCGTCGATGTCTTGTATGATTTTCATCTTCGGCTAATACAATGTTTTCATAGCCGAGTACTGTTGAAGCAATAGCTCTTGAAAGTTCAGATTTGTGATAGAATCTATAATTTGTCTTTAAAACACCTTCTATTAGTGCTGGATCACTTGTATTCAAACAAGGAAATGGACCGAATGATGTATGATAGTAATCACCGAATTCAGCATTTGCTTCTTCAACACAACTGAATGGTTTATCGGCAAGATAGGCTTGACGATAACGTAATATATCACCAACTATTGGCATGTATCGTCCAGGAATGCCTTGATTAAAAAAATCTCGTTGAATTCGCCATGGATAAATGATCCAAAATTTGATGAGATGATAAATAATGTATAGAAATAATGTATAAAGAATAATTGTCAACCACATTGTTGTTAGACAAGCGCACGACACAATATTAAGAAAAGGACACCGACAGTTCTCGTTACCTTCAGTGATAAAAAATGACTTGATATACGAAATTAGTGAGTACATGTCAATATTTAACGAAGATAGTTTGCAACTAGATTCTATGCCACAGTCAAAACAATTGCTACAGGGTGTGGGTGTGGATCTCTACTTACACAGCACAACTAAAACCCCACACCCACACCCACGTATGACACTATGTCGCATCAGACAAAAGTTAGCATCTGATAGCCCTCATTGCTCGAAATAACCTTGCTGACTATTCTTTTGAAGCATGTCATGGAAGAGATAATGAATTTTATTTAGATGAATACAAAGATTGTATTCTGTCGAGTATGAAAAGACGAATCTTTTAACAAATAAATAAATATTGAACAGATAAATATTAGCACAGATTTCATTTATATGCAAAGAGACCTGTTCTTTCTAGATCACCCGTTAACAATTCGAAATCCTTCATTGTTGGGCAAAGGTTGTAAAATTGGTGCATACCCAAATGCTCGTTCAAATTTTTGGTTTATTATTTGAAGTTCATATTGTGGGATTCTTTTCCATTGTTCAAAACTTGCCCATGTAATGATGTGATATACTTCCGTAGCATTTTGTATCGATTGATGTGTAGCTAATAGGTCTTGTTTGCCAAGAAAACCATCTTGTGTACGGAGAAACGATGTCCATATTTTCTCATCGAGTATTAAATAGCGTTGCATGTCGCCCGGTCGGACAGTAACGATTAATACTTCAATTACTGAATAGTTTTTATCAACTACACGTAGTTCACATGTCACCATAACATTAAGAAGCAACCACATGCATATAAAGCGTATCATTCGAACTCTGAAATTGAATGAATGGTTTTAGTAAAAAATATCTATATAGAGTTTTGGGCAATTTTTTTCTATAGTTTTTCAACATGTAATACGAGTAGCCAATATTTTGCAATAGGGATTGAGATCTGAAGCTCTCTGGACAATTATTACGTGAATAGTTCACTATCTTACAATTCTAATGAGATTTTTGTAGCAGAAGATCTTCTTATGCACGTTAGATTACGTTACCTATTATCTAACTCACGTGAAATTCGTGTTTTTTGTTAGGATGATAGATAAAAACGAAAATATAACAGAACCATTTTTCTTATCTCAGTTTGGTCTTCTGTAACGATAAATATTAGTTGCGCTACATGCTTCATAAATATACGCAGGAGCAATGGTTGATTCACTTACAAGAAAACATTTCCAGATACCAGAGCACTTTTCATTCAAGATTTAGTACATTTTTTTTACAGTTTAATGAACTATCTCTACCATAATAAAAGTTCATACTCAATCTACACTCACAAACAAAATGCATTCTTCGTTCCATCAGTTCATGAAAATTGATGAAATTGTGCTTTTGAAGATTGTTAAAATCGAGTTCTCATAATATTCAATTTCGTAATGTTTTAGGTGGAATACACAACACAGTGCTATCAATATCATTTATTTAAAAGCTAATTCCTTCACGCTGAATAGAAAAACATGCTCTTAGAAAAAAAAACGAGAGTCAAATTTCTATTTTCCGATAGATAGAAGTTTTGCAGTCTGCATCTTACATTTTATTTTACTCTTGATATATATATATATATATACGCCTGGAAACAATAAGCTGCAATCTGTATGTTAGGGATATCGTTATCATAGCAGCGTATTTATAAAAAAAAATAATGATATATTCTGAAAGCGCGTGGATTTTTCTATCAGTCTGTATATTTGCCTTTTCGTTTGAATATATTTATTACCAAAAAA